TTTATTGTTTTGCATAAAAATTTTGAGTTTAATATTGGGTAAAAAAGTGTTCAGAAACTTTTGGCGGGGGTCTGTATTTTCCTCAGCAACCTTCTAACGATAAAATTCATATTATTGTACATATTTAAATACTCCTCCTAGTAATTAGAATTTTTTTTATCTATATTTCATTTATCATGTAACGATAGGCTTTAGTCATGAAGTATAGTCTCAATTTTTATATATTGTAGACTGGTTTATACCCTTCTAACAACATTTTTTATTTCATAAATAAAGTATTATTATTATATTGTACATGAAAAATAAGTCATGTGCAATAGTGCGATCCATAGACTATAAATCTAATATTTTATCTAAATCAATCTAGCCTATATAAAAAATATCTAGTGATAAGTGAGAAGAGTCTTCACAGTTGGTGAGACATAGTGATTAGGCATCATTGCATCTATGATACAATATGACTGATCGCACAGTAGGTCTTTTTTGTGAAATATAATAATTTCTTATATATAGTCTACCTCAGTATTTTTTTCACTTTTTTATTCTTGTCCTCACATACTGCACTTTGAGCTAATAAAATTTCACAAAAATACTATATAAGTTGAAAACATATCTATCACTTTACTATGCCTCGTTAAAGGAAATATGACTGCTAGTATTTTTGCTGTAGATATTAATAGGAAAAAGTTGATTAGTCACCTCAAGGACGCTATTAAAATGAAAAAGGTATCAGAGTTCAATAATTTTCCTGCAGACAAGCTTAAGCTATAGAAGGTGTCAATCTCTAGCGATTATGATGATTAATTAAGAAATCTAATACTCTAAGACAGTGATGAACTATTGGCAATAAAAAAGATTTCGAAATACTTTGAAGACTTACCTCTAGAAGAACATATTCATATTATTGTAAAATTACCACGTAAGCGTCTGATATAATATGTAATTTCTTATCATTTGCCTTCGTAATATTAACACATATTCATTTTCAGTTCTCAGCCTGAAAGAGGTATTGTCGTGTATTCTACCACTTATAACTTATTCTTCAGATTGTATTACCTCAAAGACTACTACTAAGGCTAGTGGTGACTCACTGGCAAGTGTAAAACTTTAGGGAAACTTTTTTGAGGAAGTGAACAGATTTTGTTTTAACCAGCAACTAATATTCAAGAGGCTGAGATTTAATGATAAATTTAATGATGTAATTAATGAAGAGAATGTTCATAATGCTATAAAAGTCAATATTTGTCAGATATTGAATAAACTTATGAGGCTAAACTGCATATATTCAAGGAAATCTACTGACACTCCCAGCATACAGATTTCAACTATCATCTTATAGGTTCATTAATTTTAGTGATAAAGGCTAAAGAAAACGTGTTTTAGAATATATGGGGAAACAGATATTTTTTAAATTTTATCAGATGAGTAAAGGCAAGAATATAGTTTAACAAATCTATAATTATATAGGAGGAAATGAACTTAGATATGGTATTCTCTCCACCTATAATAATCACTAGTTTCTATGTCGAGAGTATGCAAAACTCTGGATCTCAAAAATTCTCTTATTTCAGTCTGAATCTCTACCAGTTCTTAAGGCATATACATATCTAACTCAATAGGCAAAAGAGAATTCTAAGTCTTCTAAACCTCAAGTAGTAGTACCAGTTTAAGAGGATAATAATACACGTACTTTTCAATCTCATTCAAAATCATCTTCCAGTTTCTCATTAAATAATCAGACTTTCAGCACCTCTATGAATCAACAATCGTCTTTTATCTTTGGCACTTCTAACAACCCCCCTGTAGACCAGGAAAAGTTTAGCTTTACAGACTTCAAGTTTAAGGGTATACTAGGTGAAAAATGAAGTGAAAAAATGCTTCTATACAAATTTTGTAGTAAAATGATTGCTTTGAAGAGCATAGACTTATCGAAGGTCCCACTGTATATCCTGAAAGAAATGCAAAAAGAAGTTGAGATTTATAAAGACCTAGCCGATATTCAAAGCAAGTATATTCTAAAACTGGTCTGTTATGGATATTATAGAGGAGGGATAAGTTTTATTATAGGCATAACTGTTGTCAGCACTTCATTGAGTGATCATAAAATAACAAAACAGTAAAGGTCAAGGGCTATTAAAGGATTAGAAGTGATTTACAAGCATGACATCCTCCATAATGACATTTAGGAGGAAAACATTTTAATTAATAATAATGGTAACATCTATCTGATTGACTTCAAGATGGTAAGTTGAAAGGACACAAAAAAAAGAGAAAGCTTTTTGATGAGGAACAGCTCAAATTATCTCAATTGCTAGATAAATATATTATGTAAGAATCTTTCGGCTAAATTCCTATTTCTTGCAATCTTAATTTTTCTATCATTAATAAACATGTATTTTATAGACATTTCGTAAAAAATGAAGGGTGAATTTTTAAGTTACATAAATATCAGATGGTTAGTTAGCCTGTAGGATTAGTAGGATTAGATAGTATAAAAACTTTGTCATGTATTCCAGGCAAAAAAATCCTGATCAATGTATTTATTTTTTGCATGTATTAATAAAAATTTTTCTTTGCAAAAGTGTGTGAATTTTTTTCACTCTATCACATGATTTTTTTGAAATAATGCAATTTTATTACTTAAACATAATAGAGATAAAATAAATTCATTACTAGAATAGATTACATTATATATACTACATTTAAATACTTTTAGAGAATACTGATCAGATATAGATACTTCTGTGTGAGATATTTAGCCAAAATAATGCTTTTATGTTCAGAATACTATGAACTTATTTTTACAAACTTGCAAAAAAAAATATTACTATTCTTACAGATAGACGTATGATTCATAATTCTTGTCTTGAATGTTTAGCTACCAAAATCAAAGAAGAAAAGATTGCTCAAGCAACCACTAAGAACAAAGCTTCACAGGATGGTAAACCCTCAAATTATAACATTTTGTGTAATTTCACCATATTATCTATACAGTCAATTAGATCTTTTAATTCCACCAAGTCTTACTAGAAAGAACTTGAGAATTGTCTACTTATAACACAAAGTTAGTACATTGATTTTATAATTGTTAAAGATTAAAGTATATATAAATTGGAGGGGAAAGATAATAATCTGTCGATTCAAACAGGTTTATAATATAACTACAAAGGATAGCTAGTACTTAGTCTAGATTTATTTGATTTACTTTGTATTTTCTTTTATATGAATTTAATAAAGTTACTGGCAGTGCCATATTGTTAAAAAAAAAAAAAGTATATATAAAACTTAGGTCTTTTTTTTTATCAAAACTTTTGGATTCACGTGAGCAAGTTTAAAGATGAAAAAAAAATAATATAATTAATAAAAATGACATCACCTATATAATTTTTAGTACAAGTTAACATCATTTCATATTAGTCATGTGATTAAGAGTTATCATTTCTAATCGATTCAGCCAATCAGAATCCTTGTCGATCAACCAATGAAATCAAATTTTAGTCATCCTGATTTCATCTGAACATGTGATAGAAAGAATACGTTGTTTATATAAATTTCATAAATTTCTCATCTCTGCAAAAAAAAAATTCTTCTCCTAAGGACTGCACAACAACTTACGAAATGTCTGACTCACAAGGTATTTTCAAATTTTTTGGAACCTAGTATTCTCTCTTCGTAGGACATTACTACCCTTCGTGGGATGTTACTTTCCCTTCGTGGGATGTTACCTTCCCTTCGTGGGATGTTACCGCTTCTTCTTTGCAGGAAGGCTTGAAGTGTTACCACATTACCATCTCGTTTTGCGAGATGCGCATACCTCCCGTTTCGGGTTGCATCTACCCTTCCTACGTACTGGGGAAGTGAAGTATACCCTCCTTGTGTTGGAGTGAATCTCCCTCTTCGCCTTCCTGAGAGGAACATTGTACCTTTCCAATTGTGGAAGTGTTAACTTCATTTTCTTTTAGTTTCACCACCGGAATATAGGAATTATAATTGTTGCGGAAAGCCGGAACGCTCCGTTATGTGTAGTGGCGATTTACAAGGAATAACCGAGAAAGAACTTGAAACATGATTATAAAGCGCGACCACAATTTCATTCGTACACATTATCAAGAATATCCATAACTCGTAAGCTTTCTAGATAAATATTTATTGAAATTTGACCATTGCTGATACTCTTTTTTTATAGCTATGGTCATATCCATTTCAGCACTCCCCTCGAAGCCAGTTCATTTTTTAGTCGTTATAAGGATGTCACTATGGACGGACCCCAGAATATTGCAATTAGGATTAGCGCCTCATATTATTTCGGCACAAACGGAAGGTCAATTATTTGAAGGTAGGCTTTTAGTGGATACCTTCTCAGATTCCGATATTTTTTTTTCATCTTTTCATTACAATTTTTAGGTACGAGAAGGCAAAAAACCTAAACCTGATTCTGCTTCAACTTCAGTAGAAAAAGCGCTTGAAACCGAGGAACAACAAGGAAAACAACCTGAAATTCGAAATCACGAAGAACTCAAGAAAGCCCCCGAAGAAAAATCTGAAGAGGAAATATATAATGATGATATTCCCTTCGCTATAAGTGATGAAAATCATAAAGAAGAACTCCAACCTGAAATTGAGGAACAACGAGCCCCTGAAGAAAAATCCGAAAAGGAAATTTATAATGATGATATTCCCTTCGCTATAAGTGATGATGTTGAAAAGTATGTGTAATTTTGATGTATGCATGTTGTTAGTTTAGCGTCAATCTATACTCATCTTTTCTGTTTACTATTAAAGCGGAACTATACATGTATTCATTCAGACCCCTGGCCTTCAATCAAAGGAGGGTCTTACGATTGATATTGTAGATTGTGACAAAATTACTATCACAGCAAAGTTTCAAACTCTCATCATACCGGGAACAATTATTGTTAATCATCTTCCGAAAGACTTCAGCCTTAGTTTGAGACTTCCAAAAAGGGTATCCGGACGTTTCGCCGAACCCGTTTCGCCGAAACCCACTTTGCCGAAGCTAATTCACCGAAAGGACTCTTCGCCGAATGGACTTTTCACCGAAAGACGTTTTCGCCGAAAGGACACTTCGACGAAATGCCGTTTTACCGAATGACTTTTTGCCGAATCCTTTTTGCCGAACGGACACATCGCCGAATCCGTTTCACCGAAAGGACATTTCGCCGAAAATGACTACTGCGTAACATTTGTTTAACTTATCATTTTTAGGTTCTACATTATAAAGTAAGTTTTTTCTTAATAATTTCGTTGGAAATAATAAAAAAAGTTCAATAAATCTGGCAAATTGCTAACAACCAACAGCGAATTATTTTCGTTTTCGGCGAAATGTCTTTTCGGTGAAACGGATTCGGTGAAGTGTCCATTCGGCAAAACGGATTCGGCAAAACGTCATTTCGGCGAAACGTCCTCTCGGTGAAATGTTCATTCGGCGAAATTTCTTTTCGGTGAAAAGTCCATTCGGCGAAATGGACATTCGGCGAAGTGGCCGTTCGGCAAAATGTCCTTTCGGTGAATTGGCTTCGGCAAAGGGTATTTCGGTGGAACGGGTTTCGGCGAAACGTACCGTAACCTCCAAAAAGGTATGTTATAAAAGATATTAAATAGCTTGTTGATTATGATCTTACAAGAGTCATATTTTGAATAGAATCGATGAGCAATCCAAGGTCAAAATTGAAGTTCTTTTCGGAGTAACTCAAATTATTTTCAAAATTAAAACATATACAAGTCATCGTTTAATGATTGAATGAATTATTTAGATATATTGATTTTTCAAATAATTGTATATTGCAATAATAACCATTCATGTGAGTTATGTAACAACAAATTACAAACTTTTAAAATATTATAATATTATATTTCTATTATGTATTTTCCTGTGGGTGAGATGCATTGGATAATAAAAATATTTCATCAAAAATAATGCTTGAAAACAAGTTTCTTGTGATATTGTCATGGTATCTGTTTCCAAAAAATCTTGCCTTAATTCTTCAGGTGATTCCTCTAAAATCGGTCCAGTCAATTCGCCCAAAGCTATGGTAATAGCTATTCCTCAACCCAATAGTCCATCCAATTCATGACCAGGCATATTTCCGCAATAAAATCTTAAAGCTTTACCCTGGAATATCCTTATAGATGTAGTAATGACAGATCTGAAGATGTATATAATTGCAAGACAAAATCTTCAATATATCCATCATGTGAGACGAATCATATAGAAAATATAGTAGGTCGATATAGAAGGGATCTGATGCCTTTGGCACCTCTTATCATATAGGTTGTATGTTTAGATATACAGGGGATTGAGCTGGCATAAAAATTAGACTACTGTGAAATCAATCACCTGAAATACGCAGTACAGTATCAGTAAAATTTTTGCCAAGCCTTTTGACAGATTGTTTCTTTTTTCTGAACTCGCATCATATATATATTGCGTTGTATACATCATTGAAATCTTAGCCAATAGATCCCATATTTCTATTGGCTAAAAGTGAAAGAATATTCACGATTTTCATATGACATAGCATGTATCACAAGCTACTGATTTATTTTCACATGTATTTTTACACATATTTCTCATGATGTAATAATAACTGATCACAAATAAAAAAAGAAAATTATTTTTTTTACTAATCGCTTATTATGCCATATAAAATGATAAGCAAAGTATATTATATATAATTAATCGATAGATCCTACTTCTATTGAGAAAAATCTTCACAATTATCATATGATACAGTATGCTACCTTATTTTCTTGCCTGGTAACCCCTACTATGACACTGTAATTATAAATAGGCTAATGTTACAGTCAGTTCTTTGAGATGCTTATAAGTGATAAGCGAAGCAATATTTATAGGTGGTAAGCAAAAGGTTTAATTTGATATTTAGATTTAGAAGAGTGTCAGTAAATTAATAGTTTATTTAATAACTATAACAATAGAGTATTACTTCAGTTGACGCTTTGTACTATACAATTATATTAGAGAAATTAAACTAAACTATTATATAAAACTATGAGTTAGACATACTGCTAAGCTAAAAGAAATTGTCCTCTATTTATATAAAATGAAAAATATAAAATTATCGAAGATATAAAAGAAATAAATATAATAATAAAAAATATAAAATAAATAATATATAATAAACATATGAGATAAATAAGATAAAATAAATAAAAGAAATATATTGTATAAAAGAAATATGTGACATAGATGATATAGATGACATAGAAGACATATATGATTTCTTAGGGATCAATGTCATCCTTTAGATCATCATCATTCATATCTTCTTTCATGTAATACTAACATAGATTTTTTTCATCTTAATGGCATCTCAGGAATCGATCGCATTATTTCTAATGAATTTGGATCATAGAGTGGCTCCCAATCTTTTCTCTGAACCTCTCTAGATAGTTTGGATTACAAACAAAAAATTATAGACTCATATGTAATATTCTGATGTAGTCATACTTTTCATATTAGATGTTGTTATGCAAATTCAGTTTGCTCTGAACGATACCTAGAATGCTAAAGTAATGTTATTGAACAGCTTGAACAACTCAGTTAAAAAAATATGAGTAGAGAAGAAAGATTATTAGCTTTTATACATGAGGTGTCAACTGAAGTGATGGAAATTGATAGCAATTCATCAGAAGTAATCCCTCAGGATCAGCCCTCAACAATTCTACAAAAAATTATCTTGAAAAGTTAGCAAGGCTGATTCTTATACCATCTATTACTATTATGAATTTGGCTTAGCAGTAAACAATTGTCTCAATGAATTAATAGAACAAAAGTAGAAGATACCAGGTCGGTTACACTTCTGAGTGATGATTATATAGAGGTGTGATTATAACTAATTAAACCTCTATATAATCACAG